GTACATATAGCGCGGCGTATTTATACGCGCCGCCTCGCGAGTGGTTTAATGCTGTTTATACGGGGTGTCGAAGAAAGTCGGCTCGAGCATCAGAGACACGGTTTGTCAAAATAAACGGGGCGACCTAAACATTGTTTATTTCGGATCTACGAGAACATTTGTAAGGGGGACCAGTGACAAGATAATAACGATGAAGGCAAATGACTGGTGTGCGTATCTGATATCTATCAAACTTCTTATCGTTGTTCAATAAATCCACCATTGACCGCACATTTAATCGTCAACTACAATATTAACCAGAGTCCAGTAATTACACACGAGCGCAAAGAAATGTTAGTCAAAGTGTTCTTACTTGGATCAACTCTCAAGTTCGACGTCGACTGCTTTCAACACTCTGTACATGGTGTCTAACGGTATCCACGGGTTGCCTATTTGTTTATAATTATCCACGGGCGAGGTTTTGCATCGAAGGCAACCGACAGCGCTTCGTTAGGCGTGATTTACGTCCGTTTTTACGGTATCGCTCGTCTAGTCGGGAGTTCGTAGGCAAGCGTAAAAGTCGACGAATGAATTCAACTCTACGATTTGTGACAGCAGTAATAAAAAAATAGAAAATGCCCGCGATGATTTATGCCTAGTAAATTATTCGTTTAAACTTATTCCGGTGATTGCTAGGCGGACGTAAACGTCTATACGCTATTGAAAGCGAATACGACAGCGAAGGTGGCAATAAGAGCTCATTTCTGAAGAGTAGGGTTCAATGCTCAACTGTTGTTACTAAAAATACCGCGAAACGCTCACCTCTGTTTGAAAAAGAAAGATGGACTGTTACGTATCGAACCTTACTTTAGCTAAATTTAGTCAAATTGATGATATTGTAAAATACTAAGCGTAGAAATTATTTCTATGCTTTTCTAAGGTAAACTTATCATTTAATTATAAATAAAATATAGCCCAAAATCGGCATTGCCTATTTACTTTAAGCCTGAATATAATAAAACTGAATGAAAAAAAAAACATTATTAAATTTGTAATCTTAGTGACCTTCCAACTAAATTAATTTTTCATCGTCATCGGAGGATCGTCGAAACCTGACTCCACGAGGCGTAGTGGGGGCGGAGAATAAAGAAAGAGGTCCGAACACAGTCGACGAGGCGTAATATAGACTTTTTTAAATCGTCTCCTTTTGAGCATTGACTTAACCCACTTCCTCGTAGCGTGGACCAAGTCAGGGTAAAAAGGAAAAATGGAGGATAAAGAGGGGAACGGAAACGGAATATGGAATTGATTCCGTTGAGAATCCAATTGCGTCTTACGAGATTCGTTCACGTCTCTTATCTCCCGTGACGTTGATAATGAATATAGATCGAAGCTGCCTTGCTATAACGTTTCTCGGTATTATTAATACGCTATCCGTCGGCGAGATAAAAAAAAAATATATATATATATATAAGAAATTGAATCAGCAGTTCTGAGAACACTGAAACGAGCGATACCTGATAACCATCGCAATCACTGACAAAGCAAACAAACTACGCAAGTGTAACGACACTGGTGTCGACTCGAGGTGAACGTCGAGCACGACTGTTTCGAAAAATCGACTTTTGAGGGTGGTTTTGAAATTTGAAGATTCGGGGATAACGGAAAATTGAAGATAATATGTTAAGGCATGGCTAAGAATATAGCGAAGATAAGGAGATCGAGATAGAAAAGGAAATAAAAGGAAGTAGAAGAAAGTGGAAACGTTGTAGGAAGAATATGGCTTTCACGAAAAGCAAATTAAATCAAAGTTTAATTTAATTGTTCTTAACCCTTTTAGATTTGACGTCCACAATTGCGGACACAAAATTTAGTTAAAGACTCATATACTATTACTGACACTATCGTTTAGAGCGAATGTCCTTAAAAAAAAACAGTTTTCCTCGAAAACTACACTATTAGAACTTTTCTTTTATTTTTCCAATACTAATTTTAATCCAAATTAAGCCTAAAAATTAAATTACATTAATAAATATCAATAAATTACAAAAAAAATATCATTGAAGTTTGAAAGGATTAAAGAGATTTTTCTCAATTGAATGGAAAAATATAAAATATAAAAAATAAAAAACAAAAGGAAATAAATCCAAAGTCGAAAGTAAAACAGAAACACCTGTGTTTGCCAGTTCACGTATCGGAATATTACTTTGAATTCCACTTAATAGATCTGGAAAAGTCCACGCTCTCGCACTGTATCTCTCGCACTGTTCCACGAAAGAAAGAAAAAGAAGAAAATTTGTCCAATTAGCCAAATAATCGGCTCTCTAATGGGAATCCCCAAACGAAGGGTACGCGAGCGAAGACGAGGGGTGAGCATTGAAAGCAGGAAATGGATCGTTTAAAATTTTTCCACACGAAACGCGCGGACAATAGGGTTCGAAGCATGCATTTCCAAATCGTCTGGACAAATTGACCTGCAGAGCCACGGCAGAGCACCCTCCACGTTTTCGGTTGGCTTTTACACGACTGGACAGCTTCGAATTCCGTCGGCGTCGGCGTCGGTCGGCCGAGAGGGGCGTCGATTGGAGGAAATCGTCCAGGTGTCCCACGGCGAACCGTGTTCACGCGGACAAAAGTCCTAAATGGAAAAGCTTTCCGCTCGAGAAACACCTAAGCAAGCACGCGCCGCGAGGAAATCGCAGTC